AGGATATCATAGTTGAAATAAAGAAGAGGAAATGGACATGGGCCGGGCATGTAGCGCGTAGAGAGGATAACCGCTGGTCATTAAGGGTAACTAACTGGATTCCCAGAGAAGGGAAGCGGGTTAGGGGGAGACAGAAGGTTAGGTGGGCAGATGAGATAAAGAAGTTTGCGGGTATAAATTGGCAGCAGCAAGCACAGGACCGGGTTAACTGGCGGAACATGGGAGAGGCCTTTGTCCTGCAGTGGACGTAGTCAGGCTGATGATGATGCTGATGATGATGATGATGGCGTGTAACATACACGTGATGCGAAAAGACACCCTCATTGCCTTTTTTTTTCCGCGCTTAGAGCGAAACAAGTGCAACTCACTTGCAACTCACAACGGTTCCCCAGCATGCTGACCGGGAAGCGTCCGTCGAATCATGCTGTTTTCTTTCGCCGTTTTTTTTAAAGATGGTTTCCATCTCGGTTATTCAACGAAATCGTTCAAAGCGGGGCGACGAAGATCAGACATGACGAGCGAGTGCGTTTTCAGGCTTCGGCGCCAGTTGGCGCCACGATACGAACACTACGATTCTAGACGTCATCGCTACTAGCACATCGTCACTCAGGATGGTATGTGTGGAACAAGGAGGTTTTATACTATGTCTTCTGCAGTGGAGGTGCGCCCCGATAAGTGACGCCGGTCGCCGCCATATTGGAAAAGGAAAGACTCGGAAGCAGACGACAAGGTGCGCTTCGTAGCTCCGCCCTCGCAGTGGCCTTTGGCCACTGTGACATGCTTTTGTAAAGCAGTTAAAGATTTTACAAGGCCATGGTGACTTCGCGCGTCGCTTATGGCTGCACAAATCGCATCAAGAAGACGCCTCGGATCACTTTTCACGTGTAAGCATTCTCGCTTTGTTCGCTGATGATCGCCTGTTTTTTTCGCGCACGCTGTTAAATTGAAAACAATATCAAAGGTGCGCATGCGTGTAATACTTGAGTATAGCTGTATGGAAAATAACTTGAAGATAGTTATAGCGCGAGAACAAAATGACGACACAGAGACAAGAAGGTCTTTCGTGTCCTTCTTGTCTCGGTGTCGTCGTTTTGTCCTCGCGCTACAACTATCGTCATGCTATACCAACTAGCCCAAGCTGCCACACTTCTAGGTAACTTGAAGTTTTAAATGCTCGCTGATATGACGTTGTCCATGAGTTTTAAGTTAATGGACAAAGAACTGGCGGTTTACGGCTGTACGTATCAAATATTGGAACGAATATAGGACGCCTGAATGCCCTTTGAATTCCAAGTTTTCTGGTGTTGTCTTACAAGGCAAGACTGACGGCATGCATCCATATTTTTTTTTGGTGAGTGAATACCGAATTTGGTGCATGTTTACCGAGGAATTCGCACACGCAGATAATAATTACATGCCGTGATTATCCGTGTTGCAGGTTTCCGATAGACAGTGCGCTGCGTTCTGCCTGGGAACGTGCTGTTCGAAGAAATAGAAAGCTACGAACCGTGACCACTTTGAAGACTGCTGCTTCGACAGAACCGGGCATACAATAACCAGACTGCGGCCTGGCAGTGCACCTTCCATTTCTCCTGCTTTCCGAGCACATCTACAAAAACCTGTTTGTTTCTACTTCCTTGACGTAGCTTCAATAGAATTTAGTCACAAAAATAAGCAATTGCCTCTGAAACAAGATTAGACACCTTTCCGTTTTATCTTGCCGACGAAACCGAAACCAAAACGCCAAAATGAGTGAGTGGCGTTATATCAAACATCGAGCTACTTTGTTTCTGGACTCTGAAGGCTGCGCTTGCCATGACAACACAAGTCCGCGACGGAAGTTGATAAATATTATGCATAACTAACGCCACTGCAATCGTTCTTATAAACGGTTCATTTGGGGTACTTCTCCTGGAGTTTGTCAGTTGCACGCGACATCGGTGTTTCGGTTTTGGTTCCGCCTGTAAATTGGTTAGACTTCGATAACTCTAGAAAATTACTGGTGACACCCAGTTTACTTAATTACCTCTTTGTTCTAAATTTAGATTCAATTATTTCAACTTTCTCTTATATATTCTCTGGTAATCTGCCGACACACACACAAGCACACATATGAAAGAGGCGAGCAAATGTTGCGTTCCCTTTGATATTGAGTATCTGCAGGCACATTTCTTAAAACACCCAATATATACTACAACCCTTTTGTACCGCAATAGTGCACCAGCAAGCTCGATATGCGAAGCAACCCTCGAAAACAGATTGATATGAAAGCGCGCAGCTGACAATGTGTGCACAAAATAACTTGTTTAGTAAACAAGAAACGGCATTTATTCGTTGATGTAACCTAAAAGTGGTTTCCATTTTATTTTATTTTTATTTTTTTGCCGTGGGACTGCAAACCGACGCGCGCCACGCGTGTATTCCATTGCGGTCTATGGTGGTTGCGCCCTGTTTTTCCTCTAGCAATATGGCCGCTGGCGGCTTCCCTTACTACCGTTGGCGGCGGCCGGGACTGCCACTCCAGAGGGTCTATAGAACCTCCTTGGTGTGGAATCTTTCCTCCATGGTGTGGAATCTTTCCCCCATGGTGTGGAATGTGTTACACCATAGCCTCGTGCCCGAGCGGTCGGTCCCTCAGCGCCGTCCCCCGAGCTATTATGGGATGCGAGCGCTCCTGGCGGAGCGCCGAGGCGCAAAACGAGAGAATGGATGGCAGCTATGGAGAAAAAACCGGCTTTGAGTAACTACCGAAAGGGCAAAAATGAAATAAGGAGGGAGGCATTTTACGATAATTCAAGGGGAAGCGCTTTACTGTTTGAAGCGAGATCGGGTTGCCTTAGAACGCGTAGTTATAAAGCAAGATTCAGTAAAGAAGAAGAACAATGCACATGCTGCGGGAAAGATAAGGAAACGGCGGAGCATGTTCTGATTGAATGTGGAGATATCCACCCAGGTGTACTCCTGTATCCGTCAACTGAGCTCGTAATGGTTCTAAATTCTCTAAAGAATTACGCGGAAGTTTTCCTCGCAAGAGCGAGAAAGATGAATCAGCCACTGAAGGCTGCCGTTGACAACGCCGCGCAAATACTACAGAAACGTGACAAACTCAAGTGCTCGACCCCGGGACATCATAAAAAACTTTTGGAGGTTGTGCTCGTGAAGTTTCTCCGCCCACTTTTTCTGAACTTCGCGACGAGTGTGACTGACAAACACGACTTGGCAAAAGATTTTCATGTCAAACCATTGTCTCGAAAAGTGCTCAAGCTTTGAGCGCGAAATCAAATAACAAAGCTCACATTGCATTCTGCATACAGTGCTTGTGTTAAAAATTTGGTGTGTGCGCACTTCTTAACGTATACGCATAATCCAATGCAATGTAGACGGTTTCTAGACCGTCATAAACGCAAGCGTGCATAGGCCGCGTCGTCTGCTGTTATTATGGGATCGGTGCGGCATCTGGCGGCGAGCGCCAAAACTATAAGGGACGGATGGCGCGTATGTATTTAGCGCTAATGCGCGGGCACAAAAAAATATAGGAGGCTATGGTTACACCGAACACGTAGCACTAGTGTCGATGTCGCAGGGAACTCCATTTTCATTAAACTATCGTATGATGTTTGCCAACAAAATAAAATAACTTCCACGCGACGGATTCAATTCAAATTTGGTCAGGACGACCCACGCACGCTGAGCAATCGCCGGAAGGGCACATCTCGATTTTGAAATTACATGTCAATGCTCCTTTAAAAATAAAACAAAAATAGTTTTCCTTCCTGAACAGGGTTTCGGGCCTTGGTACCCACGGTACGAAACCGACTACCGTGACTTGAACACTAAGCCACAAGTTCACGCTCAGTGCCCAGTGTGAACTGAATTGAAGCATGTAAATGCGTTACCCACGATAAAAAAAAACAAACAAAAATTGAAAAGCAGTACACTTGTTAAGGGCGTTTCGCTGAAATATTTCCTAAATTCCTAAATTACGGTTCCATGATCGCATGACAATCCATTTTGCTGGGCCGTTATACAGTCTGACGAACGCTGGAAAGAACACGAGAGACATCACGCCAATAGGGTACGATGAACTTTCTTTAAAGACGTCGATTCCTGCCACAAAGAAGCATTCCGGGGACGGCTAATAGTAGAAAAAAAAGAAAAGATAGATAGATAGATAGATAGATAGATAGATAGATAGATAGATAGATAGATAGATAGATAGATAGATAGATAGATAGATAGATAGATAGATAGATAGGAAAAAAAAGAAAGCAGTGCGGCAGGCACTGCCACGCTAATTGCCCCCTTTTTTTCCGTGTTTAAGAAGGGCTTTCCTTTTTTTTTTATTCAACTTCCTTTCTTTTCAGTTACCTTTCTTTGCAATCAATCACGTGATATTCTTGCACTTTCCCTTCTTATATCAATCTCTCTTTCACCCTGCTCACCAATTAGTTTCCAGAAAATGCAAGCGCACGGCAGTTGTTAATATACAGCCGGTTCGCTGGCGTTCCGAACTTACAATGATCTGTACCAAGGGACGGTGCAAACAAGGAATACAGACTAAACTACGCAGAAACAAAGAAAACAGACTATAATCACCACCTATTATGCATTCTTTTCTCGCGTTATCCCCATAGTCCTGGCACTTCCCGTTTATGAACGGGCTGCGCGCTATCAACGTGACTCAACATTTTTTATGGCAAAGTGGCCAGAGCAGGGTTTTCAAAAAATAGTTGTGGCCTAGCTCGTATATACCATTTGTGCAAGTGAAAACTTCACAATGAAACGCCAGGCCCCTTTCGCTGTAATGGCCTTGCAAAAGCTGCCACGTGTTGAAAAGGATATACCAGACTGTTTCTGCTTGCGAAAGCGCACCTAAGACGCCCGAAAGCGAAACCGAAACTCCCGTCAAACGTTCAGAGCGCCGTCTGGACCCCACGCGCGCCGATCCTAGCAACTGCTCGCAACGACGGAGCAAACAAGTTTGTTCCCCCGCGCCCGTCTTTGGTGGTGGTGTCTGAATCGAGGCGGTGGGTTCGAGCGGCGATATCATATCACCCCGCACAGCCGTGTGGGCCGACCGTATTCGCTGATATCGAATCTCCATCGGCGCTTTCGATCGAGGCTCGCCTCCGGTGACCCAGCCGCGGCTTCCGAATCCGCATCTTCCCCGCAGACGGCGACCAGACGTCACCGCCGAGCTCGTGGCTAGGCCTATCCCCGAAACCCGTCGCGGTAACCCACGCCTTCTCGTTGCCGAACGTCGGCGCGTGCTGCGGCGAACAACAAGCCGCTCGATTCTCGCTTTCTAACGGAAGTCGCACCCACGTTCGAGAGCCGTCATGGAGCGTATGGACCAGCCTGAATCATCCTGACACGACTACTTCGAGCTTAGGTCACTTGTAAAAGCTACGATGTTGCCCAGATGAGACCCGGCGTGTGACTGTCGTGGGACAGGGAATCCGAGGAACAGTGTTTTAGGGATAGCAGAAAGGAACGAAACAGCTGGTTTTCTTGTGTGTGAGCGTCGTGTGTGTGTGTGTGTTTGTTGTGCGCGCCGGTGGTTTTGCTTAAACCGAACGGTAGACCTACGTAGTAACTGCCCCTTTTTTTTTTCGTCCTCGAGAAGCGAGCACGTGTGTGGGTCTAAAAAGCCGTGCTTTTGTGAGCAGCGCCTCCGAAGCATGACACAACGGGATCATCGATTTTCGTACGGTCGCCGGCGGCGACAGAATTCGGGAATACAACTTGGACCTTGCAGCGGCAGTGCGACTCCCGAAGGCGAAGGGCTGCTCAATCACGGTAAGTTCGCTTCACCTTCTTACATTTTTTATTTCCGTGTGTGTGCGCCTATGTTTCTTTCATTTACCGTTCCTTACGCCGTACGAAGTGACACCGCGCGCATAATGCTGCGCGTGCGCATTCATTCGAGCGTTAGTCGACACCGGCACATCGCATTGCCAGCGCGCGCACGGCGCACATTAATTTGTGCGTACATTTTCTTTTTTTTTTTTTTGCACCTGCAAAACACTTTCACGTGCTGGTCGAGGAAACTTTTAAAGCTTTGTGTAGCGTCTCTGAGGGTGTTTTCGTGTAGCTGATTGTGTACTTGCGCGTTTACCGGTGGACGGCCAGGGGTGGTTTTTCCTGAAAGCGCACGCACTGCCTGCCGCTTTTACGCATTTGTTTTTCTTTCTCACAAGATCGGTTTACCGCGTTTCCAAACTTGTTTTGCCATGTTCCGTTTCCAGCTCCATTAGTCGTTTTCTTTATATATTTTTTTTCTGGTTTTAAAGTTCGATATATTTGGCTAGCTTTTTGGACTACGGCGCGCGAGCGCCGCTGCACATACGTTCGACATAGGTTGCCTCGATGTGCGCGCTTCTCTTCCTACAGCTGTTGGTGTTTTTTTTTTTTTTTTGGATTCGCGCCGTATTCGACATCATCATGGTGGAGCTGCTTGTCGTATCGCGTTTCACGCGGTTGGGATTTCGTGCGTGCGCACCAGGTATCGTGTTCAGATCCACTGCGCTCTTCTGTCGACTTCCTGCTGGGAACGGTTGCGTTTTGCACGCGGTTCGTATCCGCTGCCGCCCGACGTCTCTGCTTTGAGGCGAGGTTTGAAAGCGATAGTGGGCAGCGAAAAGAACAGAAAACAAACAAAGCCTGGTCATCCTGTAGTTGAGAAAACGCAAAAGTAAGGAGTAGGTGCGCTTCAGAAATTTTAGTCCACCTCCGTGTGACGCCAGCGGTGACTCTGTTAAAAGATCCTGTCTGAGCAGACGAAACCTGTAAGGACATGTTGTTTTCGTCTGTATAGATTCGGCGATGGTAGTTGGTTGCAAGGATTTCAAGTTCGCGCTGACTCGTTCCACGCGTACATTACTACTAGTGTTACTACTACTACTACTGGCGGATTGGTCGATTGTGGACGCCAAGGCAATGAGGTTCGATTGCGCAAACAGCTGTCGGCGCCTCGTGCTGGCAAAGGCTTCTTTATTATTATTTTTTTTACATCGCCCCCGCCCCACCCATCTTCTCTCGCTCTCGACATTCGTTTGCTGCGCAGATGTACCACGTGTTTACGCTGTGTTTCTTCTTCATTTGCGAATTCTGTACCTGCGCGTCACCGACTGCCTGGGCTCGTCGGTGTTTTCTCGCGCGTTTCCTGTGGCGTAGTACAGATCACTTCCTGCGTCATTGAGCGGGGTTGCGCGCGTTCGCCGATACTTTTACCGCGAGACATTTGAAATAGAAAAAAACAAACATCGCGTGTTCACGGGTCTTCCCGTTATATAGGTGGATCTGCAATCTAGCTGAGTCGGGAATAAATTTGTTTTTCGCGGAGCGCTCTTGATTGGTACGGTTGGCACAACCAAGCGACAGCTGTGCACGTGTTCTTTGGCGCTCACGATGTCGTAGATATGGGTTACGGCTTGCAGTTGCAGCCGATCTAAAGGGGACGCATTAGTGTACGTTGTAGATATTAAAAAAAAAATATTCTAACGCTACCTAAGAGACAGAGAAAGGGAAGAAAATCCTTCTTGTTGATTATTCCTGTGAAACTGCACGCCGGGGGTTGTCCTAACGCGCGTAGCGGGCATGGTATGCACTGACGTCACTGTGGCCGCCATTTTGTAGTACAGAAAGCACAGAGAAAGGCGCGCCTTTGTTATCTTAATCCGGCGCAGCATAGTGTTGACGTTTCTGGACTGCCGAATAAGCCTACCCGGTTGCGATTGGTAGCTGCAAAAAATGGAAACCCTGCAGGAGTCATCTCTGACGTCCGTCTGTCAGGAAGAGTGTGTCATGTGACAGCTACTGCACAAGACGACTGAAATGCATGTCAGGCGTGAATCATAAGGGAAATTGACTTAATTAAAACTGAATCTATTGCGAATTGACAGTGGATGGAATTCTCGAGTGAACTGAAGTGTATCGATTGGGAATTAACAGTGAATCAAAGCCTTGTTGTCCAAGTTTGCTATCAATGGCGACGTTTAAGGGACTGGTAGCGAACAGGTAAAACTAAGTAAGCAACAAGACCAAAATAAAACGACTGTCGCAGTAGTTATGCATCGTGCGAGCACGGGCCATCGCGTGTGTTCTTCCTTGGTTAGGCAAAAGGGACGGTGAATTTTTTAACCCGGCACGCCTCATTGCTACGCCAGGTGAAGTGACGTCATCCACAGTACGTTTTTTCGCGCTCCGCTTGAAAGGGTACTGCCGGCTATTTCCTAAGCCGAGTTCACTCTGCCACGAATCAGCCCCGCCGCGGTGGCCTAGTGGGTAAGGTATTCGGCTGCTGACCCGCAGGTCGCGGGATCGAATCCCGGCTGCATTTCCGATGGAGACGAAAATGTTGTAGGCCCGTGTGCTCAGATTCGGGTGCACGTTAAAGAACCCCAGGTGGTCGAAATTTCCGGAGTCCTCCACTACGGCGTCTCTCATAATCATATGGGTTAAACTCAAGATATAAGTCAATCTGCCACTAATCAGTTGTTTACAAGAGACGGCTCTGCGCGAGTAGGAAGTGCATGAAATACTTATTGCCTATTAAAAAAATTAATATTAAAATTATCTCAGTCGTGCACTGTTGCACAAAATTTATCCAGAAATTCAGGCGTGAAACGCATGATGCCTGCCTTGCTCAGACTTTGCCAGCTTAGACCACATGCTCTGGCGGTGCCCTGCGTTACGGAATGAAGATGTTACATCGTCCAAGTGGGATGCTGCGCTAGCGCAGTACGGATTTAAGGACGCAGCTATGGGCAGTTAGTACAACGGGCCCACGACGGGGCGGCGAAATTAGGCGTATATCTGTCCCGACGAGGGAGTGGGGGGCCCGTTGCGTGCTAGTTCACGCCCCGGTGGACCTAAATAAAGTTATTCCATACCGTACATTAAAATAAGCGTAGCGCACCTGTTGACATCGGCACTCGCGAGACATCATCTGGCTACCGTGTCAATATTGGTGACTTCCAACACCAGAACTGGCCAGTGCTGACGAAGTCAGGTACCAGGAAATTCAAAATGGCCGCTTGTGCCTCGCAAACTGAGCAACTCAGCGGGGCAGCCTTCATAGACGTCACGGCGTCTTGCTGCATGTCACAAGAAGCTTATACCGCGTCGTGACGTCGAAGGTACGGTAAGGAGGTATAGTAACCTTTATAAAACACATCGTAATTAAATATTTTTCAAGGTACAATCACGCTTACAAGTAGACTTTCTCGGCTTGGTCTTTCATATAATGCAAAATAAACAATCGAACACTAAAAACTTTCGTTTAGTATCCCAACGTAGTACAGGACTAAGCTAACACACGGTGAACAGTGTCGGTTTTTCTGTCAAACGTTCTTTAGCGGAGAACGAGTAACCTTATACCACGAAGTTCCTACCGACCAGATCAGATGTGTACTCTTCCGAGTGACGTCATCTCTCTGAGTATCGTCCGTCCGGCATAGCTGACGCAGTTTAGATATGCGATCCAATGATGTCCCACTTACAATGATAAGGAAAACTGAGTCGAGCATTTAGCGTTCGTCACGATGGAGGAGGGGGGGGGGGGGGGGCACTTGCAGCTGGAAATGCGATGCCTGTACGCTCCCGCCTCGTCACTCTGCTCTCTGACCACGTGATAGCTTTAGCTCGTTTCCGATGTCACCTGATGCAGTCCAGATTGCCCGTCCCTAGCGCAACGGATAAAAGACCCCGGTGCGCGTGCATTTCGTTATGCGATAAGCCTGTGTATAGCGTTTTTATCGTCTATGACGTCGCTTGTGTTTTTTTTTTTTTCCGACGCGCAGTTGACGTCATAAGAGACTCGCTCAGCTGCATTCGCCGTCGGTCCGCGTGAATGTAAGGTCTCTAGATAAAAAAACTTTTTTATCTAGGGACCTTACGTGAATGCGGCGTGAGATGCCCCCTTCAGGCGTGAATTGTGACTACTTTCTTGGCAATGAAGGGAAGGCTACGGGGGTTGGAGCTTTTTCGCATGTATTCCTACGCGAAGTAGTCCGGCTTCGGCACGCGTCTCGTATACCGCTACGCAAAGTGATGGCTTCAAGCAATCAGCGTTGCGTATACCTAGGCAATCGTAGGAGCATTAAAAAAAATTGCCCGCAGCTTCCCTCGGGGGAACACTGAGGAGGATGCGGAGCATATAATTGGTTAACGGGGTGTTAAAGTGCGACTTACTTGGGTCGATGGCTAAATTGGTTAACGTGGTTGTGAAATGGCGTGTTAAATTGCGACTTACTTGGGTCGATGGCTAAATTGGTAAACGTGGTTGTAGGAGGGGGTGTTAAATGAGTGAACACGTACACACGTATGCGAAAGGGCGGCGCTGGTCGAAGGGACGTCGATCATTGTGTTTGTGGATTCGTTGGAATTCATTTCACCGCGACCTTGGACGTCGAAGCGCCGTACAAACCAACCGACGAGCGGCAACTGAGCGAGCGAGCGCCGACCTTGAGTATATATACAGCGCGACGGCGCATGCACTGTCAGCTGTCGAATGTTCGAGAAGGGGGAGAAGCGCACGCGGTGTGTAGAGGAGGAAGGGTGCACAGATGGTGGAGGAGTGAAGCGCGCGCGGTGTGTAGAGGAGGAAGGGATGCACAGATGGTGGAAGAAGGAGGAGGAAGCTTGCGGACGGCGCCGCACTACAAGCCTCGAGTATTCGATGCTCCGCATCTAAAAGTTACCTACACCACTGTAGCCACCGGCGCTGAAGGGGATATAATAAGCTTGAATAGATAGATATGCGAAGTTCATCTAGCAGAAAGCGTTGTATACGTCTA